GTGAGCGCACCGGCGCCTCCATCTGTCACGCAGTGAGTGCTACTGTTCAGCTTCAACATCAGATTGAGCGGCCATGTAAAGTTGCTAATACTTACATATTTCAGATGATACGCCGTATTTGAGGTCGATGAATGATAGGCGAGCGTTTGGATATCCTGCTTGATGTACTGTATTACCAGTGCTGTTAATGATGGGGACTTGGCCTGTCAAGCTCAAAAAATAACAAAAGCGCTATAAAAGTAGTACATATGACTCATGCAATACATTCCATGTCTTCTGTACACATAGCTGTACACTTCTGTAGCTTTGTATGAGAAACAAACAGCGGTTTAAAACATGAATTGTTGAAAATTTTCATGTCAGACTTCAAATTATGCATCTTGATGCATCATATTTACACAAATGTAAATGAAGCATGAGACCTACAGGAAAATTTCAGTAAATAACATGTCAATTTCAGTCTGTTCCTCACACAAAGCTTGGAATGTAGAGTAGAAGTCATATGAACTACTTTATGGAGCATTTTTTGGAGTTGTCAGCTCCAGTCCCCATCCACTTATATTGTATGGAATAAAGCAGCCCGGACGTTCTGCAAAACATATCTTTTGGTTTCCACAAAAGAAAGAGTCATTGGGGTTTGGAAGGACATGGGGGGAGTAAATGAATTTTCATTTTTGGGTGAATTGTCAGAATTAATATTTTTGGGTGCTCTGTCCCTTTAAGAGACAATTTCAAAACTAATGTATGACTATAACTGTGCAGGGAAGCAGAGCTTTGACACACACAACACGTTTGCAATGCCAAAGAACTCGTTTTGAAAGCACCAGGATCAATTATTAAACCAAAGATTAGTCAAAGATCAAAGATTGGAAGAGAGATTACATAAACACACAGAAAACTCTCACATTTCCTCTCATCCTAAACACGCCGCTCTTTCACTCCCTCCTTCAGCGAGACTAATTTGAGGCTTATTTGTATTCTGTTCTTAAAGAATCTATAAGAGGCCTGCATATTTAATGAGCCGACTATCTCACTTACATACCCTGAGTTACAGTAAGAGGATGCTGGGAAAGGCAGGATGTAGATAATTGGGCTCTCATTAATAATTGATCACAGGGATTATGCCAATGAACAGCATTACTAACACACATATTTGCACACACACACACGTGCATGTCTCATGCCATCCGGTTGGCACTCTTTCATTGACTCGTCTCGTTCGTATCTAGGTCAGACAGCAGGAACACAACAACCAACAAAAAGTGAAATAATCTCCCCATTTCCACTCGTTTATTTGCGCTCGCTTTCTCTCTCTGTCTCTCTCTGCCTTTCCTATCTGCTCGCTCAGCTCTGGCAGAAATATCAGCTTCTAGCCAGGACTGTGTGTGTGACTGCTTAGCTGTAGACTGAGAACAAAATTGTACACAAAAGTAAGCTAAATTTGACACAACCTCCCATTTGGAAAGCAGTTATTAATAAATAAAAAAAATGCAAATAATAGTGATAAAATTTGTAATATTAAAATGCATTTTATTATTAGAATGTTTTATTTTAATTTGAATTAAAATATATTTTTTATTAAAATACAAAAATAAATCTTGTAGGGTTTGAGTTCTGGTTGTGTATAATAATTAGCTTTAAATAAAACAATAGATGTCTAAAGAATGTCCCCTTTTTGCAATAATATAATATTAAAATTAATTATTATTTAAATATTTGATTATTTTAATGTTAATAAAAATAATTACATTTTAATGTTAATTTAAAAAATATATCAATATATGTCTATGGAATCTTCACTTTTAGAAGAATATAAAATGAAAATGTGTTATATTAGAATATTTTATTATTATTTTTAATAAAAATATAAAAAGCTCTTTTTAGGGTAGGGTTTGAATTTTAGTTTGTCTGTAATAATTATAATTAGCTTTATATAAAACAATACATGTCTATGGAATGTCATTGATATAATATGAAAATGCATTCTGTTATTAGAATGTTTTATTATTTTAATGTTAAACCCTACAATAATTGTTTTTTATTAAAATTATTTGAGGGTTTTTTGTCTATAGTAATTATAATTAGCTTTATAAAAACAGTAAATGTCTAGGGAATGTCCCCTTTTATAAGAATATAATATTAAAATGTATTATATATTTTTTTTTATTATATTAATGTTAATTAAATATTTTTTATTAAATATATGTGTACTATATATATATATAGAGAGAGAGAGAGAGAGAGAGAGAGAGAAAGAGAGAGAGAGAGAGAGAGATTTTGTCTTTCTTTATTTTAAAAATTGTTACATTACCAATAAATCAATATTTACATAATACATAAATTACAAACAGTACACAAAAAAAAAAAGTTATACAGAGAGAGAGAGAGAGCAGAATTTGAGTTTTGATTCGTCTATAGTAATTATATTTAGATTTATAAAAATACGAGATGTCTAGGGAATATGTACCCTTTCATAACAATTTAATATTAAAATGTATTGTATTATTAGAATGTTTTATTATTTTAATGTTAATTGCAATAACCACCATAGAATTTGAGTTTTGAAGTAATTATAATTAAGTTTATGAAAAATAAAACAATACATGAATGTCCACTTTTAAAGAATATAATGTTAAAATGTATTATATTATTAGAATGTTCATATTAATTTTATTATTAATATTATAAATATAAGTATTTTTAATTCATAGTAATTATAATTACCTTTGTACAAAACAATAGATGTCCCGTTTTAGAAGAGAGAGTGTGTGTGTGTGTGTGTGTGTGTGTGTGTGTGTAATGAGCTGCTCTGGTTGGTGGTAATGGTGTAAGATGACTCTGGTTTGTCAGGGCTGGACTTCCAATCTGTGTCTCTGATTGGCTAAAGTGAGTTTCTCTTACCTCAGAGAATAGAATACACTCTCTTCTCTGTCTCTCTTTCTCTCTGTGTGCCTTTTTTTCGTCGTCTACTCTTATTGTGAGGTTCCTCGGGCAGTTCTGCTGGTGTTCCGAATATATTACGTGTGCTCTCACTCTAGCACAATGAACTAAAGGATTTTATGAATCCTACAGGCTAACAGACTGAATTATTGATGTCACACACACACACACACAGTCACACACAAAAGCTCAGGCTGTTTTTCAATACAGAGAAACCTGATCTGATCCCTTTACCTGATTCAAGTCTGATTCTAGTTCCTTTGCGGAAAATTTACCATGGTAACTGTAGATTCAGCCAAAACACAGAGGCATATAAAAGTTAAATAAAATAAAGTTATTAATATATATATTTTTTTTGTTTGTTTGTTTTTTTGATAAGATCTTGCTCAACAGTCCCACCAAAGCAAAGTCTCGCTTTTTGTGGCAAATCTGTGCCTGAGATGAACTGCTTTTTTTTTTGCTTTTTTTAATGTTCTGACCATGGACATAATTTCATTTTTTGTCCCCAAGACTGAAGTCCTCAGTTTACGGTTACATGGAGCGATTGAAAATGTCGGGCTGTTGTTGGGGTCAGAGGTTCAGGTCTTATTTTGTCTGTAGCCTGAGGGTTGTGTTTTCTTCTTCTCTGTTTCTGTTACATGACTTATGGAAGTGACCTCCTTATTGATCTAAATTTACCACAACCTGTGTGCTGCTGTATTATAAACAGAGATTTTTAAAGGTAACTCACTACTAGCATCACCACAGAACAGTTGTGATAAATAATGAGGTTTCCAGAACACTCGCCATTGGCCAGCCAAACAGGAAGCCCCGCCCCAAACTCAAGCCATTGGCTGAGACATTAGCTATGTTTCCATCCAAAAATTCGAGTTAAACTTACGCGCAAAACTGGAATATCGCATAAAACATATGCGAATAAAGCACCGTTTCCATCCAACGAGTCAAAGAGAACAACATCGTCACTTCCTGGTAAACTGTGGCACTAAATATCACTTAAGAATATAGGAGAAGCCACTGAATATAATAATATTTATATATAATAAATTACTTGCGCCAGAGCGAGCAGACGAAACACAATAAATGCGGTCACTGCTCTCAGAGGTGGATGCCAGTTGTTTGGGAACGAAGTCGTGTAAGAAAATTATACAGAAATACTTTGACGACAGACTTTGCTCAGGCTTTTCAGAATGACCATAGCAACATATATATAGATGCTGTGAACGAGATCGGTCCGCTGCTAGTCAAGTTATCCCGTCTCATAGCGCAAAGTCACATGACTTTTTAGATGCGCATGGAGGAATTTATTCGGTAAATGTGTTTCCATCATAGTTTATGCGCATTTTTTCTTATCGGATAAAAAGTTTATCCTACTCAGATGTGCGCATACGTTTTTTATGCGCATCTTGGCGTTTCCATTCAGCATTTTTTTATGTGATATTCCAAAATGCGCATAAAAATAGTTTTACCTGACAAATTGATTGCTTAGTACATTAATCTGAGATACAAGACAGTATTTAACATTAAAACAATTCCCCTCAGTTTTAATGTTTTTGCTCAGTAATTTATTTTTTGTAAAAAGCAATTATTGCTAAGGTAAAGTGTGTAATTTCTGCACCACTAGCATCAGTAAACAGACCTTCTGTAATAATGACTGTCTCCAAACAGGTTTTTTGGCCATTGGCCAGCTAAGCAGGAAGCCCCGCCCCAAACACATGCCATTGGCTGAGCCATTGTTGCTGTTATACTCAAACAGCAATGTTTTTAATAGCACCAAACACTTTTCAAGGATAAACTGCTCATTTAGATTATTAATCTGAGATATGAGGCCAAATTTTAACAATTTACACAGCTCAGTTTGAATGTTTCTGCTCTGTAATTGCTTTTTTGACAGCAATTACTGCTATCTGAGTTAATATGAGTTTGTCAGTCTCCGTGTAGAATGCATTGAAACTAAATGATCGATTCTGCCTCTGTTTGACTGGAATTAAAATGTACAGCTTGTGATGTTTTGGTGTTTTTTTCCATTTTATTTTGCAGGTGTCATCTACACTACAGATCTGTTGGACCGAGAGACGCAGGACTCCTATTGGCTGACAGTGTACGCTACTGATCTGGGAGTGGTACCGCAGTCAGCAGCACTACAAGTGTACATACAGGTAAATTAGTGTGCATCCTATGTGAGATAGATAGATAGATAGATAGATATGTGTGGTAAATCTGTGTGTTTGAACAGGTTGAGGATGTTAACGATAACGCCCCCCTCACATCTGAGCCGATGTATCACACCACCATTCCGGAAAATTCCCCGAAGGACCAGTCTGTCATTCAGATCCGGGCGCAGGACCCTGACGCCACGGCAACCGAGCCCCGCCTGTCATTCCGTATCTCCAGCGGCAACCCGCAGAACTTCTTCAGCATCAACCCGCGCACCGGTCAGTGTCCTGTCAATCAAACTCCTTCTGTGTGATAGATAGAATAAATTACTGTCAGTTTTAATAAGTTGAGTTTGTATGCATGTCCTTTAAAAAGTACCATGGTACAGTGATGGTATCATATGGTCCAGCTCTCCATCATTCTATCCATCCATCTATCCATCCAGCCTTCGTTATGTCCATCTATCCAACTTCCAACCATCATTCTATCCATCTATCTATCTGCCCATCTTCCACCTATCTGTCCATCCATCCATCTATCTATCATTTTATCATCCATCTATTCTATCCATCCATCCATCGTTCTATATATCTATCTATCTATCTGTCCATCTTCCATCTACCATCTATCATCCATCTATCATTTTATCCATATATCTACCCATCCATCTACCATTCTATCCATTTACCTATCCATTCATCTATCAGTCTATCCATCTATCTAACTATCATCCATCCATCCATCGTTCTATCCATCTATCTATCCATCTATTGTTCTATCATCCATCTATCCATCCATTCATCCATCTATCTATCCATCTATTGTTCTATCATCCATCTATCCATCCATTCATCCATCTATCTATCCATCTATTGTTCTATCATCCATCTATCCATCCATTCATCCATCTATCTATCCATCTATTGTTCTATCATCCATCTATCCATCTATCTATCCATTCATCCATCATTCTATCTATCTATCTATCTATCTATCTATCTATCTATCCTTCTCTCTGTCTATCCATCCATCCATCCATACTTCTCTCTGTCTATCTATCCATCCATCCATCATTTGTATACACTGTGATTTACCATGGTACCGTGTCTACAAAAACATGTTAATACCTTTTGGTCTTTTTTTGTCTTTTTATGAGTGTTTTAGTCTTTGGTGTAGATAAAGCTAATTATTCATTCCTGTGCATTAATTAATTCTGCTCATTTAGTATTTAAATTCACTAATTTAAATATCAGCATCTGGGTGTGTGCGTTCTTGAGGTCTGTCGCTGTTCTCCGCATAATGACATCATCGTTTGAGCCTACTGTAAATCCTGGCTGCTGATTGGCTGGTGTTATGGATTTGCTTTTGATTGACAGATTAATTTCATAGCCACAGGCCCTTCCCTCCAGACACACGCCCCATAGTGCATGTCAGCAGGAAGCACGATCCTAATTAAAAACTTTGTAAAGGTCACAAAAGGTCAAGCTGTCAGAAAGATAGAAGGCAACAGCAAACGGGAAGCAGCCAGAGAGAAAGATCAGAAAGTGTTGTGAGGTTTGATGCAATAAGTTTGTTTTCATAAAAGGTATTTCCTGAAAAACTCAACACATCAGTTTTCTGCAGACTTCTTGCAGACTGTGTGTGTGTGTGTGTGTGTGTGTGTCTGTGTCTGTGTCTGTGTCCATCCATACATCCATCTATCTATCCATCTATCCATCTATCCTTCTATCTGTCTGTCTGTCTGTCTGTCTGTCTGTCTGTCTGTCTATCTATCTATCTATCTATCTATCGTTCTATCATTCTGTCATTCTCTCTCTCTCTCTCTCTCTTTTGCAGAGGTGTGAACTGTTTGATTTCAGTCTTGTATTTGTTTGTTCTAGTGAAAGCTGTCTAAATGTTAATCAAACGGTTGCAGGCCTGGCCTTTGCTCTCACCTTTCAGCATCATGAGAAAGGCCTTTCAGCCTCGTCATGTTTAAATGTATGTGTGTAACAGAGACGATTACACATCACCATCTAGCTGGCACACACACCCCAGCTCTGTTTGTTGGGCTTTTATTTGGAAACTTGTTTGTCTGTTTATGTATATAGATTTCATGAATTATTGATGCCAAGTCAAATATACCGAGCGCTCAGATAGAGATGAAATTACCGCTCTCAGGAAACTTCATTCAATTCCAGGTTTAAATAAAGTACACATGAGGAGGTAACTTGTGGAGAAGTATTGAGCAATACAGTAAAGATGACTTTAGAGGTCATTTTATTATTCTCCTATAAAGCAGAGTTGAAATGGATGTTTCTGAGATAGCCAGATTTGATTTGTATAATGTTTCCTTTCAAGCGGAGAACATGATGCACAGCTTTGAAAAGTCAGACCTTGTTATATATATATATATATATATATATATATATGTGTGTGTGTGTGTGTTTAATTAATGACATCTTTGAGTCACTGGAGTTTGTGCGTGCCGCAAGGAAATGTTTATTTATTGACACATTTCTGAGAAAACAGAGCCAGGATGTGTGTTTTTTGAAAGTGTGTGTGTGTGTAGTCAGCATGGTTGGCGGCAGATGTTATGAGGATATTTTGATGATGCACTGTAGCGTTTTGTGAAGGTGACTCCAAAACAAAACATCTTTAGTTCTTTCACAAGACTGGAGTTTGCAGACGCTCCCTAGACACGTCTTCACTTGTTTGTGTGCTCTCTCAACAGTCTAACACATCTGCTGGGACAGTTAAAGTTATATTGTAGTTTAGACACGTTGCCTGGACTGATCCCTGCGCTGAGAAATGTGTGGTCTCTTATGATAGTTTGCACATGCTTCTGAAAGATTTCTTTACTGTCATGGGGGACGTTGCTTGCATGCTTTATTGCTTTTGCAGATGTGTTTGTAACTGAGGAGTTTATACACAAACCCTAAACAACTCGGTTGATCGATACCAGAAAGCCAGCCTCTAGTATCAATAATGAATGCAGGCAACAAATAAAAGGCCAGAAGAGGAAAAGAAATAATTCAGTCCAAAATAATTGAATTCAGAGCATCTTTTCAAAAGTATAGCAAAGAAACCGCAAACACAGGGCCAACCAACCCCACAAAAAAAATCTATAAAAATATAGATAAATAAATAAATAAAATGTATTGTTAATATAATAATAATAATATGTAATAATATAATTATTATGGTGATGCTTATTATTGTTATTGATGTTATTATTATTATTACTAATGTTGTTATCACCACATAATAGTAATATAATTATATAGTAATAATAATAATAATTTTATTTTGCTGTTATGTTTACTAATAATAACATATAATAATCATACCTTTTATTAGCATTAATTTAATATCATATACAAATAAACCACCACCAACAGCAACATAACAAAATAAACATTAGTAGTAGTAGTAGTAGTAGTATTTTTATTATTTTGCTTTTATGTTAATAATAATAATAATAATGTTGGTGGTGGTGGTGGTTTGTTTTTATTATTATATTATATTAATGCAAATAAAAAGTATTATTTTAATAATTTGCCGATTCCATAAAAGTTTCAGTAGACAGAAGAGCAGTTTTGAAATCATTTTAGTAAATATTACAGTGAAAGTAAAATAAGCAATGGCTAAAATGGTCTTAGAATTATGAATGATAAACTGAAGCAAGATCATGTACTATTAATCAAAGCCTTACTGTTGCTGATCCACAACACAGGTCCTCTATGGATTCAGTGTATTCTGTTGCTTATGTACAGTGATAAATTCATTTAGACCGTCTGGGTTGTACACAGCAGTGGGAAATTGCACCATTTGGAAGCGCGTTTAAGCTTATTTAAGTTCAGAGTCTGTTCTCCCTAGTGCATCTACAAACAAATGCAGAACTGAGCGGTTTACTCGCGCTCCCTGAACAACATGAGCAAAACTCTAGTATTATAGTTCATTCACCTCAGTTTACTGACACACTCCTCCATTCTCCCTAAACATTACAGCCTTCTGAACACACTTCCTAAACTCCTGAGGCGTTTCTACACGCTCCCTAAGCATCATTTTGCTCTGATTTATTTGCTCTCATTGTGCTTCCGAACATCCCACCAGACGTTACACATGCTGTCTTGAACAGGTGGCTGGATGGACAGATGATTGAATAGGTAAATATATATATATGGATTTTGTATAATGCATGATATATAGTATTTGTATATAATATGTGTTATTCATTTATAATGTAAAATACAGTATGTGTATGTACTGTATAAAATATATATTTATATAAAAGGTCTTTCCTTGCATATTTTAATTTTTCACATTTCATATTTTCATTATTGTATTTTTTTTTATTATAATTTTAAATTTTGTATTATTTTGTACATATACATATTTTTATCAATATAATACGTGTTATTCATTTATAATGTAAACTACAGTATGTATATAGTTAATGTAAAACCAAAAAAATTACAGAAAGTATAATTAAAAATCCTAAAGAAATGAATTTATTTCATTCTGTATTTTATTAAAAAACACAAAGTGCATAACTAATACGAAATGTGTTATAATACATTATACATGTGTGCATATGTATTTATATAAAAGTTTTTTCCTTGCATGTTTTCCTATATAATCATTATATCATATCTTAGCCAGCATCTATGTGAAACATTACCTCTCATAACAGCATCAAAACTCTCATTTTTTGTGGTTTCCTCTAATGCAGTGGTTCCCAACCCTGGTCCTGGAGGCACCCCAACACTGCACATTTTGCATGTCTCCTTTCTCTGACACCAATTTCAAGTGTGTGTGTGTGTGTGTTTGTGTGTGTGTGTGTGTGTGTGCACGCGCGCTTTTTAATGTAGCAATTCATACTGAATAATAGGGTAATATTAAGCATCTGTAAAGATGAAATTCTGCGATGAAAAGCTGCCAAATAATTTATATGAATGCATAAATATATTAATATTTGTGATATATGTATATATATATATATA